ATTAAATTGGTTTGAGTCTGAACTCCACTTGAATTATTAACGAGTGAAGTAAGCTATTGATACTCAACATAAAGCTCATAACCAACTCAAAAATAATATATTAATTTTTATTTCTTAAATTAAATTAAATATATTAACATTACATGTTATATATAATATAAGTTAAGATTTTTATGCACTTAAAATTAATGTTTCAAATTTAAATTTGAACTATAATCGAATTAAATATGAGAATATTTAAATTTAAGTTTTTTTGTGTTAGAGTTGAATTTTAATTTTTAATTTAAAGTCAAGCTTAACAATTTTAAGCTAATAAAATTTTTTGATCAATCTAACTTAATTTTAAAATTTTTAAATAAATTTTAGTTCAATAATATTCAAACCAAGTGGAATCGTTTATAGTCCGAGGTATGATAAATCCGTTAATATCATAATAATTAGGAAAGTGAGATTTAATAGAGAGAAAAATATTAAAAAAATGCTGATTGGACACGTGGCTGGTGATGGTGAACCAAACAATCACACCCAATAAAGACGGCAATGATCCCCCAAACTTGTCCTTTGGGAGAAAAACCTTTCTTGTTTTTGGTCGACAGCGGACACCCCTTATCTTAGCCACTCACCTTCCTTTTGAAATATACTCCCATTCGCATTTACAATTGTACCCTTTAATCATGTATGAGATACATTGGAAATAATGCATATTGTTTATGGTTAAGGTTGAGAAATATCGACCCGACTTTAAAATTAATATTTAATTTAATATTAAAAAACTAATTTAATTTATAATTTTATAAACTTAAATTAAATAGAATAATTTTAATTCAAATTGCATATAAAATAAAATTTAAATAATTTGAAATTTTTATTAATATTAATTTTTAAAATTGAGTCGAGTTCCTTAATTATACATAGTATATGCATATTACATACAAAAAATGAAAAAAAATATTTGTTTATGTATATGATTATTAATTATCATTTAAATTAAAAAATAGTATTATAACATTGTACATTTAAATTCAAACATAACTCGAATCGAATCGGCTCGACTCAAATTTTTATAAAGTCGACTTAAAAATTTCAAATAAAATTTAAATTGTAAAATAAGATTCGTCTGCAAATAACTAATTTTTTCTTTTACTCGACTCGCTCGAAACTTAGTCCTATTAGTGGGTTGGATTCAACTACATCGTTTTAGTTCTGCTTCAACTTTCAATCAGTTCGGTCTGATATATTAGTTTAAATTTATTATTTGTTTAATATTAAAATATTTAACTTTTTATATATTTATAAATTAATTTAAATAAAAATAAATTTTCAATTAATAAATATACTTTGAGCCGTTGACACAATATTAAAATCCAAGACTGCAAAAGATATTTCAACCCTGAAAGTTAACTTTGGAAAGGATATTCAAATGAATTATGGAATGTGGAGTTTGATAAGATAACCTACAACGGTGGTTAGAATTAGGTGTGTAAATGAATTGAACAAACATGAATAAATATATGTTTATGTTTGTTTTTTTTAATTTTTAATAAAAATGAATGAATGTGAATAAATAAATAAAATTATTATTCATGTTCGTTTATTAAGAAACATAGTTTATTCTTATTCGTTTATAATCGTTCTTATAATGATAAACAAACACAAATGAATATAAACAACCTAAACAATTTAGGTTTTTTTAATCTGTCGATTATAAATAGGGACTATGCTACATAGTAATTGGGAGGGGTTGTTGATCCTTCCAAAAATTTAGTATAATAACATTTTAGGTTTTTTTTAGTTTAAATATTAGTTAAATAAGATATTTTTCTCTCCCAATTTTAGATTTAAATATTTAATAGATTCTTATTTTTTATATAATTTTTTGTCCAATTGCCCCTCAATATTTGATTTTTTAATTACGTCCTTAATTATAGATATATATATTCAGAATTTATTAACCTATTAACGCGCACATATCTTTCAAATACAATTGTTCAACTCAAGATCTTAAAAGAGAATAATATTTTATTTAAACATTAAAATTACTTGATGGATTATTATTCAAACATTAGTTTTAGTTTCAAGAAAGATAATAAATGGAAATAATCCAAATCCCAAACAAAAGAAAAGAAAAAAATGGGTATATACCAAAGCTCCAAACTTATTGCCCGTACAAAGGTAATGTAGGGCTACACCATAGCCTCATGTTCCACACATACATGCCATCTGATTAACAACAAATCACAATCATACGTTTCTGTCTGCACTAAGACAGCAAGCTTTCTTTTGGATTCGATACGATCATCTTAAATTTTCATAAACTAATATATTTCGACATCTTTAAAAATGTTATATACATTGGGATTTTTTTCCAAGAACAAAACCAAAATCATATCCATGAAACTCTCCGAACACGTGTACGACAATGATGATGTCACCTTTGGGTATTACGTGGGTGTGTATTTGTATATTTCCAAGACTTCAAAGGGCGTTTTCGGTAATTCAAATATCTCCTTCTTAATTGCACCTTATATATATGCATACATGCTAGTGGTGCTGAGGATTTTTTACAGTTGAAGCACTTTAAACTTACACACAAAGGGAAAAAACTCGTATTTTTCATTGAAAAACATGGGTTTTTCTCGAGCAATTTCCTTTTTTTTTCTCATCAACCAAACAAGACTTTGCTTGTCTTGTCTCTTTACGATGAACATTACAAATTTAGTCATTTTGTTTTACATGATTCTTTGCAATATATTTCATCTAAATTAAAGCTTTGGAGGGTCGAATATAATATTTTTTCTTCTTCTTCAATGATATAAATATGTTGTAACAATTTATTTTAATTTTTGAAGAAATTGAAGTTTGGGTTATATGTCCATGCAGTTGTTCAATGGAGAAGCCGACTACTTCAACCACTTTGGCACGAACAAAATCGGACCAACTGGTTGAGACTCTGGCAGCGGCTTTCAAGTCACCGGGAAACTCCGAAACTGCTGGAACTCCGTCGAGGAAGCCGAGCAACGATTAATGCTCGGTGCATCGTCGAAGGGGAGCAGCGGTGGCAGCGAGAATAACACCTACATTCGGAAGTCGAGGAGTGCTCAGATGAAGCTGGACTTGGAAGAACTGAGCGGCGGGCAGGCTCTCAGCCGTGCCTCTAGCGCTAGTTTTGGGTTGTCTTTTCGTTCACCGGCTTCACTGTGCCGGCAGATGAGATCGCCGATTCCAAAACCTTAAGCGACGATGATATACGTAAGTTTTTTTTTTTGTGTTTCTCATGCACAAACTACTGCTTTAAACCTTAATTGTGGGTTTGGAATATTAAATTCGGAAACGATTTGGATAATACGAAGTTAATAATTAACAAATAAATGTTTTATTTTTGAAAAATATGTATATAACGATTTGAATCAATGGTAAGTAATTTCAATATTAAAATTTACTTATATATGTATTCTTATTGAAAACTATATCTACATTTTATAGATTTTAAAATTAAGAGTTAAAATTTTAAATTGAAATTTTATTATTAAACAGAAATTATTGCCTTAAGGAATGAAATTTTTGAATTTCACGAGTGAAATTCTTGAAATGACAGATAATGTTAAAAAAACAATTCAAATGAGCAGTGCAATTTATAGCCATAAAAGGTAAGATAGAGAGTGAGACTGTATATAAAAAACTAGGCCAATGCATTGGTCACCTATTTTTTTTTTAGCCACTGAATTTTGAAATAATAATAAATTAAAATAGAGTGAGTAAAATTTAAATTTTTAACGTATTAAAGGGACTAAAATATAACTGAACTTAAAACAAAGTGTTCGAGGCTTAATATACTATAGCATGTAAACTCATCATGAAGATTTGACTATATATTTAAATATTTTCTTTGTATTTTAACTAGGCCAATGCATTGGTCACCTATTTTTTTTTTAGCCACTTGAATTTTGAAAATAATAATAAATTAAAATAGAGTGAGTAAAATTTAAATTTTAACGTATTAAAGGGACTAAAATATACTGAACTTAAAACAAAGTGTTCGAGGCTTAATATACTATAGCATGTAAACTCATCATGAAGATTTGACTATATAATTTAAATATTTTCTTGTATTTTTTTGTTATTAATTTAAATTCGCACTCTTGAAATTTATAGTTTCACATTCAAATTTTTAATAAATTTTTAAATTCATATTCCTAATATAAAATTATACATTTATTTACGTTCGAATACATTCACGACCAAAGGATAGACTACTTAAAAAAATTAGTGGATCCCAAAATGTAGAAAGACTGAAAGCAGATAACAGAACATAAACATTATGATGGAACAATTGGTCCCATGTCATTGAAATATTTGCTTCTTAGTCATCTTTAATTTCAATCCCACACCTAAATGCGACTAAGGCTATGCCAAATTGATGATAACCCTAAACATTTTAAGGTTCCATTAAGTATCATAAATGTATACATTACAAAGGTTATCATGTGCCTTGACTTATGGTCTAAAACATGTTAGAACAAACTAGTTAAATCTTCATTTGCAGCTGAAGATCTTGAAGCTGGAACTTCTAAGATGAAATTTCAGACAGAACCTACTTTGCCAATTTATCTCAAGGTAACAGACAATCAACAACATGCTTTGTTTTTTTCTTCTTCTTCCCATTATCATCATTAAGTTTAATCTGCAACAAAAATCTTCAGGTCTTGCAAAAAGAAAAAAAAAAGAAAAAAACACGTGCTGTTAATGGTGTGGATGATTTTGGGTGCCATATGTATTTCGACAGGCAAGAGATGGAGAATTGTGTAAAGATCAACGCAGTCCCATAGAACATGGCTAACATTGTCAGGTTCAGTCTTGTACGGAGTAGTCTCATCTTACATGGACATTTTGTACAAGACTCTTCCCTTCTTTCCAACAAATGAAACCTGCAATATATAACATATAAAGGCACGGATTAGTTTAGATAGTCATCTTTAGTTTAGAAAGTTGCATAAACAACCATCTGAAGCACAATTTCATGAGGAAAGAAGGGTATGGAATATCTGATATATATAATTTTGAAGTTTTAGTTTTGATTGCTTTTGATGGGGAAATATTGTTATTACATGAGAATATGTTTATGTTTTTTAATATAATATGTTCAATTTCATGTCTTGGAACTGCAGTTCACAGATGTGAGCTACAAGGTGATTATCAAAGGAATAACAAGTTCTGAAAAGAGGGATATCTTGAATGGGATCTCAGGTTCTGCAAATCCCGGGGAAGTTTTGGCTCTTATGGGACCTTCAGGTAGTGGGAAGACACACTTCTTAATCTGCTCGGAGGACGGTTAATTCAGGTTATGTATAATGATCAACCTTATTCCAAGTTTCTTAAAAGCAGGTAAGAATCTCAAACTTAGTTCATCATGCCTTGTTTAAAGAACATTGGATGAATAACGTTTAATAATGTATGGCAGGATAGGATTCGTGACACAGGACGATGTGTTGTTTCAGCACCTTACGGTGAAGGAAACATTGACATATGCAGCCCGCCTGCGACTGCCGAAAGTACTAACGAAACAGCAGAAGGAAAAGCGAGCCGTTGATGTGATTCACGAGTTAGGCTTGGAAAGGTAAACTCTCTGGTATTGGTATTGAATCTCAGACTATGTGACATGCTTGGTCTTGAAATGATGATAATGCAGATGTCAAGACACCATGATCGGTGGATCGTTCGTCCGAGGCGTGTCCGGTGGGGAAAGGAAAAGAGTTTGTATTGGCAATGAAATCATAATCAACCCTTCTCTTCTGTTTCTTGATGAACCAACCTCTGGCTTGGATTCAACAACTGCTTTAAGAACCATTCAAACGTTACAAGACATAGCTGAGGTTTGAGTTTTGACATCCACAGTCAAAATTCCTTTAAGCCAATGCCTGTCATTTCAAAAAACATTTTCAGAACAGTGAAACAAAACATGGTTTTATTCAGTTTTTAGTATCTTCACCTGTAATGGCAGGTTGGGAAGACAGTGATAACAACAATCCACCAGCCATCAAGTAGACTGTTTCACAAATTTGACAAATTGATTCTTCTGGGGAAAGGCAGTTTACTCTACTTTGGGAAAGCTTCAGAAGCAATGGTTATTTTCATCCATTGGCTGTTCCCCTCTAATTGCAATGAACCCTTCAGAGTTTCTGCTTGACCTTGCAAATGGGAACATAACTGATATTCTGTGCCATCAGAGCTCGAGGACAAAGTTCAAATGGGGAATTCCGAAGCCGAATTCAGAAACGGCAAGCCTCCACTAGCAGCTGTTCATGAGGTAAACTTCAATTCAACTCTAAACTTTCCGATATAGAACCTTTCGTTCTTTCTTTTTCAGTACAAGTGGAGCTCTATGACTATAAATCTGAGGGAAGCTAAGGTAATATGGACTGCTTTTTGGGGTGTATTAATGTACTATGCTTAGTTGATTGTAATAATGTCTTAATGACATGCTTTCACTTGAAAACAGTATCTTGTGGAGGCCTATGAGTCGAGAGTTGCAGATGGTGAGAAGAGGAAACTTATGGCTCCTCTTCCATTAGATGAAGAGCTGAAGTCGAAAGTGTCTTCGTCAAAGCGGCAATGGGGTGCGAGAGCTGGTGGCAGCAGTATTGCATCTTATCTGTAGAGGGATCAAAGAACGAAGGCATGATTATTTCAGCTGGTTGAGGATCACACAAGTTCTTTCAACAGCAATCATCTTGGGATTACTATGGTGGCAATCAGACAGTAAAACTACCAGAGGTCGTCAAGATCAGGTAAAAATCCATTTTTTCCCTCTTGACATCAAAAGGAAAGTTAATTATACTCGCATCAATGGAACATTGGAACAATGCAGGCAGGGCTACTGTTCTTCATATCTGTCTTCTGGGGCTTCTTTCCCGTTTTCACTGCAATCTTCACATTCCCTCAAGAAAGAGCCATGCTTGGTAAAGAAAGAGCAGCCGACATGTACCGATTGAGCGCGTATTTTCTAGCTAGGACTACAAGTGACCTTCCACTTGATCTGATATTACCAGTACTTTTCCTTCTGGTAGTCTATTTCATGGCAGGCTTGAGACTGAGTGCTACTCCTTCTTTCTCACTATGCTAACGGTTTTTCTCTGCATTGTTGCTGCCCAGGTATGCTCCTTGTACATGGAAACCATGAAATTGAACAATTGTTTAAAATCCAAGGTATGAACATTGGTCACTTTTGCAGGGTCTTGGACTAGCCATTGGTGCCACTAATGGACTTAAAGAGAGCTACCACTTTGGCTTCAGTAACTGTGATGACCTTCATGCTGGCTGGTGGCTATTTTGTTAAGGTAAGCAACCGAATCTCTGCTCGAAATTTTGAAGAACTGCACGGGAATTCTCATACTGTCGTCATTCTTGGATGTTGCAGAAAGTACCAGTGTTCATATCCTGGATCCGATACATGTCATTCAACTATCACATACAAGCTTCTTCTAAAGGTACAATACCAAGACATCCTGCCTACAGTAAACGGCATAAAAACAGACAGTGGGTTGAATGAAGTTGGTGCCTTGGTTGCAATGATTTTCGGCTACCGTTTCTTGGCTTACCTCTCATTGCGAAGAATGAAGCTTCATTGTTGAAAGCTTGGGATTGCCATTATTTCAAGGATGATCTTGAAAGCTTGGACTTCAGTGTTGCAGAACTGAAGTTACCGAGGATCAGGAGTCCGCAAAATGGGATGCATCTCGAGCTGTTTTCTGGGTGTTTTTTTTTTACCTTGAAGAATTTGTCAATGCTCTCTCCTGTATTGTAAATTAACCATGCACGTGGAATTTAGTATATGCAGTGGTGGATCCTTTGCATATGTTGGAATTTTATGCAAAATAGATATATTAATACGGATTGAATAAACAGTACTTAGATAAATAACACAGTAATTATGTGGTGAAAGAATCATAGTCTTAAATTTTGAAATTTCATAACAACTGGATAATAAAATTAAAAAGTAACCGATTTTTTTTTTCTGAAAGAAGGATATTTCTTATATTTTTCTTAATGTGGAATAAAATAGAGAAATCAAACTGGAAATTGAAAAGAGGAAAGTAGAGGGAAATGCTTTATGTTGTGAAAAATGAAAACCCTGGAAATTTAGTTTTTAAACAATATTAACAAATTATACTTATAGTATGTTATTATTTTCAAATTTTTATATTTTCTCTTTTAATGTTATATAATTTATTAAAATTTAATCATTCATTATTAAACATATGTCTTTTATTTAAGAGTCATTTTCAATTTTTTATTGCTTAATTTGAATCACTTCAATTTTCGAAAAGATATTTATGTTTAAAAGTCATTGACAAATATAATTTTAGCAGTCAACTCCTAAAACATCTTGAATCACTTCATCTCCTCGAGAGATTAACTTACGTAAAATTTTATAGTTATAATTTGGAGTGTTCAAACAATTAATTCGATCATTGATAAATTAAATTAGTTAAAACTAAATTAATTGTACTGAAATCTTTTGAAAGTTTAATTGGGTTAAGATCTAATTAGGTCACAAAAGTTTAATTTCAAGCTTTGAGCTTAATATATAATATATTTAAATATTTCCAGTTAATTAACTTATTTGTATCGAATTAATCTATATATATTTAATTAGTGGAAGCATATCATCTTACCCAATCCACATGCTCCATCTTAAATTGCAGAGAAGAAAAGCAGATGAGATCTAAGATTCAACATCCAAAAATGGGGCTGAGGATCGTGTACGGGGTGGTGTTCCGCCTGCTTCAAGCTTCTTCACCCATCTTCTCTTCACTTCTTGAGTATTCTCTCTTCTTTTCATTATGGGATGAAATCTGGTTTCTCTTTCTTTTCCTTTATTTTTACTATCCTCATATCTCTCCTTATTATTCATATATTATTTGTTGTAATTCGTTTTTTAATTCTAATGAGATATCTATATAATAATGAAGTTCTCATCAATATTAGTTATATAAAAAAAGAAGTGAAATTTTTAATTTCCTATATGAATTGAATAAATTCTCCATTAATCCATTATCATCTATCCATCTTGATGATCCGAGTTCTCATTTTGAGAGCATTAATTATTTTTCTTCCAGATATATTATCGTGAGTTTGTATAAATTTGTTTTTTATATTTAATTAATTATATTTATTTAAATTTTATGATTTTAGTTCTTGCACAAGTAATAATTATTGAATATGTTAGATCTTATTATTAATTTATGCATCATTCGTAAAATCTCATTTGATTATTTGGAGTGTTTATAATATTATTATATAATTTTCATAGTTAAATTAAAAAAAAAACATGAATTAAAATTAAATAAATTAATGTGAATAGTATCCTCGAAAGTCTTGTTTTCATATAAATATTGGGTCTTGTTTTTACTTATTTATCCTTTAATCTTTATTTGAAGATCGACTCCAATGGAAGCAGCACGCTTGAGTTAGAGTTGGAGATTACACCTGAAATGAGAAGATGGATATTTCCCATTTTCTAAGCTTCAGTTTTCTCTCGTGTTTTTCATGCAGCAAAAACTACAGTTTATTTACTTCTTTTATTCTTCTAGTTTGTGGATTCCAGAATGATAAGGTTCAAACAGAAAGTAAACAAGCTTTTGTGATTGTTTCTTGTGTGTGTGTAAAATATATTACAGTTGCATCGTTGCAAGACGGAAAACAGAACTGAAACTGGTGACAGCACATATAAACCAAAGACTATTCCACCATTTTTTCTGTCCATCAAACAATCTCCAGTCATAGAATCCTCATGGACCAAACTTCAGTTCGACGACGGCGATCATGGCTGCCAACCCGTTTCTTCTCTGCTCTCCAGCGTCGGCGGCAGAAGCCCCAGAAGGAGCACCTCCATGGAGAGAGCCACTTTCGGAGAGGTTTGGGGGGCGCGACAGCCGAGTGTGCGGCTATTTGTTGCTGTTGCCCTTTGACGATAGCCAACTTTTTAGTTTTAGCAATTTACAAGATCCCCGCAGGCCTATTTCGCCGTGCTCTCCATCGGATACGGCAGCGGAAGTTGCCGGAAAAGGGTTTGAATCAGCGGAGTCATGATGGATTCCATAATGAGGGTTTTGAGATTCCGGCAGTGGATGGTGTGGAAGAAATTTTCGGGTGTGTAGAGACTGAGAAAGCTGCGAATGAACTGGAAAAAGAGATGTGGCAAAAGTTTTGGGACTGGATTTTGGAGAAGTCCTTCTCAAGCCCCAGAATTGAATAACAATCCAATATTGTAATCTTGGATTTTCTCGAGAAACATGTATTTTCTTGGTTAACATAATGAAAATTCAATTGCTACTGAGAAATTTCCAAATATCCTACATTGCAACATTTTAGCCCATCCATTAGATATTGGTTTAAATGGATAAAGAGAGCAGCATGGATAGACTGAGATCAAAGTTGTAGTTTGGAAGACATATGATTCAATAATAATTTCCATTTCACATCGACTGTGCATCCATTACCAATATAAAAAAAACTTGTCTATATCAAAACAACCCACCCATTATTGGCCCTGTAGTTCCTTAAAAGATCTGTATACTATTTTCCAATAAAATTCGCACAATTTACCTCCATCTCTGGCTCCAACTTGTTCATTAACTAATCCCAGAATGAAAACATGAATTTCCCAGAATATCATCACCCATCTAATGCACCGATATCGGTTACCAGCAAAAAGATTGAGCAAATGTTCATGTCAGATACAAATCATATCAAGAACTTTCAGTTGAATTTAATGAAGAAAATATGATTGCAATAACCTGTTGATGAATATATAACTTATATAATGTGTATAATAACCCTCCAAAAAAAATGTCATGATCAACTTACAAATACTATTCACAACAGCATGAAACATGGAGATTAACAAGTAAAAAATTGCAGCTATTAACACAAGGCCATAGAATCCTGATCTTCAACCTCCGACTGTGACTTGACGGGGCATTACATCGTGTTGGCTAAACTTGGAATTGTCCCTCCATTCTGAGCAGGGTTTATTTCTTCTGCTATAGCTACAGCTTCCTCAGATTGGGGAAGGTTCTGGTTTCTTCAGGCTTCCCAACACAAGCATCCTGCACAGGGTTCTCCGCCTTTTTTGTTTTCGGTTTCGACTTTCCGAGCTTTTCTTTGGATTGGTGGTCTCCTTGGATTGAATCTTCGGTTGGGGTTTCTTTACAGTCTTCTTGGAAGCAACAGTATCTTCATTACAATCGGTTTGAGTTCTTTTGGTTGAACTGTTACGTTCTTGGTTCAAAGATGGGCTAACACCGAACCATCTTCTGAATGGTTGTTCGTTGCAGCAGTGCCACTCTTGTGCCTTCCAAGCTTTGGGATATTGCACGCGTAGTTGGTATCTGTGACGATAACAGAAGATATCAGACATTACAGTATAGATGAGATACCACAATGAATTAGAAGAGAAACATAATGCTGTAAGATGATAATCTTGATCTATTTCTAAGTACAATTTGTACATTTGCCCATTATCCAGGTTATCTGCCAATGTCATCTATTAGATAGTTTCAAAAAGAAAATCGTCGTCATGGGAAGCTGATTAAGTGGGGAATTGATCGTGCTGAAGTGCTCGATCAACAGATAAAGTGCTCAGGTTTACTGAAAAAATGCATCATTTTTACCATGTGTCAAGGATAAGTAGAAGCACAAAATCTTATTCTGACTAATGTCTTGATCAAGCAAAGCCACCTCATATCCTAAAGCATTATCAACTTGAATCAAACACTGCAACATTTTAAGTATTTTCTTCGCCTACAGCGCTTCTATCTAGACACCATTCATTTTCACAACCTTCAAAAGAAAACCAATAAATAATAATTGAGAAAGTTGTTCCTACTAGTTCACGGTATAGGGGTAAACAATTCAAAGTTCACAGTATAGGATTAGCAATTATCAGCATCATACTACAAAAAGAAAAATTATCAAACAATATAAAATAATAGGCATATCCCAAGTATCCTAAGGCCGATGTGGCTTCGAACAGGAGAACATGCCAGCATGAAATATTAATAACGAAAAGAAGAAACAAACAAATTACCTTCTTTATTTCAACTTTGGAGGAGGTTCTTTGTAGAAATTTGGCATCGGTGTTGCTTTAAAAGCCAAGCTCTTCCTTAATGCTTGATTTCTGCCTCCTGTTCTCCTGCACAATGCAACAAACCTAAAAATTAATGAAACAACGAGATAGAATGGATTGAAGCAGAAAACTTGGAAAAAGTAATACTTGATAGAGTAGAAAAATATGTTCATTCAAGTAATAGTTACGAGGTCATCGCCAAGACCTTTGATTTTGCCTGCAGGTTATTCTTTCAAGTTCCTTAGCATGGATCTTCTCTTCTAGCTTTGAAAGAAACTGGAGGAAAAGTTCATGAACAATCATTATAAAATGAATGTAATTAAGGCTACCGGAAGTAACAGATCGATGGATATTCCCAACCTCCTTCCGCTTTTCAGCACGTCCTCGAGCCTAAAGGTGAATCCTGACCCACTGCTCCTCCTAGTGCTACGAGAAGTGGCACTGCTAATAATCACGACCAAAAATCACAGACATCAATAAAACGAGAGTGATTCGTAAAATTTTTGCATTGCAAAAATAAGTTAAAAGTAATGTCGGTACGAAGTAGTGGAATGAGCATCCTCCTCCTCTTTGCTCAGTGCTGCAGCTGTTATTGGCTTGGAATCAGCTGATCTGCAATCATACAGGATTTAATCACACTATAATTAAATACGCAGAAATAAATTTTTGAGTTATATAATTGTTTCCCATCCGTTATTTTCCAACCCTGCGCTTTTTAATATTATTTGCAGGGAGTTGGAATGTTCAAAGGAACAAAGAGATCTATTCCGCATCCAAGTTTTGAGAAAATTTACCATGAATATATAAATGCATTATAAGTATCAACCAAAGTAGAGGGGTAAACAGTGCATCTGACTGATGATATGGCAACTAACTTACTCAGACGATGAAGAGGACTTAGCAGCCGCATTACCGGGACCAGATTTTGCAGGCTGATAAGCAAACACAAGATGAAACCAAAAGAGCCATTTAGAAAACCAAAAAGAGGAAAGGAAAATAGAAACTGATGATATCACAAATTCATACCACAGATTGCTTATTGCTAGGCAAAGATGCCAAAGTAGTCCTTCTAGTAGCTTCACCACCATTTGCATTCTTTGAGTCGAAATGGACGGATCCCCGCCTCTTGGGAAGACTCAAACGAGACAATGAAAGAACTGATCCATTGGAAGAAGAGCCGTGAACTTTTGAGCTTTTCTCCTGGGCATGTTTGGGATCAGCTTTCTCCTTATATCCATCAAGGCTCTTCACAGGAGCGTCGCCATGGACTCTTCTAGCAGGAAATGAAAGACTCTGGGACAGCACAGCACAGCCTCTGATTTGGAGTGACCGGAACAGCACTTCTCAGATTAGGTTTATCCTTTGTCACCTTAATGTTCTTTGCATTTCCATCACTCAGATCACCAGGCTCCTACACATTGAAATAGACAAGTACAAAACAAAATATAGAGAAAAATAAGGGAACATCTAGAGCTATAAGAAATTATACAAGTGATCAACACAATAAAACAGCTCGAATGGATGAATGGTACCTTTAAGGTTTTTGAATTTGACTCTTAGAGACATTTGCAGGAGCTTTACTTGCCTTGCCTTCAGATTTTGTTCCCTGCTGCTTCGGATCTTCATTCAAATTTGAAGCCCCTTCAGCATTGGCTTCCTTTTTCTTTTCTTCTGCAACGATTCTTCACCATCTGCTTTTCCACTGACAAGATCTCTTCCTCCATTGATATCCCGTTTTTCAGACTCCATTCTACAGCTAAGGGAGAAAAATTCCTGCTAAAATCAAGTCATGGTCATCGGCATCAACTTAAAACCTCAAAAAAGCGAAGGGTTTTTCTGCAAAAATCCAACAAATCAATGACAGTGCTAAATTTTGACTATGAGACTAGAGAATTCAAGCAAGATCTAGCTTTAATGACTGGTCTTTGTACTGAATCTAAATGACATATAGTTCCCTTCTCACATTCTTTCCTCAAAAACCACATAATCTAGTTAAATATAACCAAAACACGAAATGAGAACCATCTCACCAATTGAACAAAGATCCAGCTGAAATTATACAATTAAATTCTCTGCCAAATGAGTAGAAGACAACACTGATATAAAAGAATTAAACATTTACGAACATAACCAGACAGAATTCGCATAAACTCGAAAAGACAAGAAACCAATGATTATTATTGATTTTTATAAAGAAATTACCTTTCTTTCAAGAGTTTAGACTCAAAGAGCTGAATGCAGAGCTTGGAAAACGAAACAAATGAAGAAAGCACTGAATTGAAAACAAGTGAACAACAAACAAAAGAAAAAGGAACTTTGAAAGATAAACAAAGAAGTTACAAAACCAGAAACTAAAAGCTATAAATCGAAACTGGGTTTTCGATTTAGAGGCTTAAGGACAATCTGTTTCATACAGGGGTTGGCTTTCATAATGTTTAGAGAGAGAGAGAGAGAGAGATAGACTGGCTCTGTTCTATATTTTGAGGTTAAAGGTTGAGTTTTTCAATGAATTGGATAGGAAGATTGATGAAATGGAAAGCTAAATGACTGTATTGCCACCAATCTGTGGATATTGGGGTTCAAGATTTTAACTTTCCATTACGAACTAGAATCATAATGGAGGGGATGAATCAAAGAGAATTTTCAGCATTACTGAATTCCATAAAATAATGTGTTTGGGGTAAATGTTGGGTCAATTATTGTCAAAATTCGGGATAACATTTCACCTGCAAAATCTCTTTCCTTCTTATTTCAATTATTGACTCATATTTTAAATTATTTTAAAATTATCACGTAAAACTGAGTTTCACTTATGAACGGTAGGATAGCTTAACCATCTTTATCGTATACTTTTATTTTTTTAATTGCTTATTTTATGAGTATAACAGATTCAAAAAAGAAAAATTTCTAACAATCCTTTTTTATATAATAATATCAATTAAAGTAAGTTTCGATCAATATATATATAAATATATCAAAATTTTATTTTGTACATCAACATGTAATATTAATATTTTTAAATATTTGTTAAAGATGTTATGTTTATATATTTAAAATGATACAATCTAAAGAATTCACCTAGTGGTGAAAAGAAAGAATATTATTCGCACTTAGAGGATCTAACTTCA